TCCTGGCCTCAGGTAATTTGCCTGCCTCAGCCTCCCAATGTGCTGTGATTATAGGCGTGAGCCGCTGTGCCCGACCTGCAATCTCACTCTTAAATGACTTTCTGTGTCAAGACTTCATGAACTCAAATACCACCTCCTCAGAGAAGCTTCCCTAACTGTCCCAACCTTCCTTCACCCTTGCCCAGCCTCAGTTGCTCTCTATCATACTACCTTCTATTCCTTCATATCACATAGTGCAATGTGATATTGTGTTGTTTATTCAGTGATTAGTACTTCTCACCTGTGGTCAGGACATAAACACATGGGACAGGGCCTGTGTCCACCTTGTTTACCCCATAACCTCACTGCCTCTGACCATGCCTGGCATGTGGTCTTTTAGTAATTGCTTATTGAGTGGCAAGCAAACAAAGTAGATAGGTGCAGCTTCATGGGGATAATAGCCCTAACCAGGCGCACTGGCTTATGTATGTAATCCCAACACTTTGGGAGGCTGAGGGAGGCAGATCACTTGAGGCCAGGAGTTCAAGACCAGCCCAGCCAACATGGTGAAACCTCATCTATAATAAAAATACAAAAATTAGCTGGGCATGGTGGTGGGCACCTGTAATCCTAGAAACTTGGGAGGTTGAGGCAGGAGAATCGCTTGAACCTGGAAGGCAGAGGTTATAGTGAGCTGAGATTACATCATTGCACTCCAGCTTGGGCAAGAGAGCAAGACTCTGCCTCAAAAAAATAATAAAAATAAAATAAAATAAAGTAACAGTATAGTGCATTGTTATGGTGTCAGACTCAAACAGGCCTTTAATCCATTACCACTTGCTGAGTTTCAGTGTACTATGAAGGATATTAGTGTGCTATGAAAGATATCTATACTTATCAGAAAGGCTACTAAAATACTCCTCCCTTTTCCAGTGATGTGCTGTGTAAGGCTGGATTTTTTTCCTGTATACTTCAACCAAAACAACAGATTACAACAGATTGAGTGCAGAAACAGATGTAAGAATCCAGCTATGTTCTATTAAATTAGAGTTAAAATTTGCAAAAATAGGAAACAATGCTACTCTTCTCACTAAATTGTTTAAGAGTATAAACAGGTTCTGACACCGAAAGTTTCAGACCACTGCCTTGGAATGAGGAACACCACATGATAAACTCCATTGACGTTGTGGCTGTCTTTCAAATATGAAAGGACAAATGAAGATACTCAGAATTTGAGAATAATATCTAACATGAAAGAGAGAAGCTAAAATCATCAAAAAGGGAGCTCAGTAGAAAACAAAGAACAGGAAAGAAAAGTACAAAATCATTATCATCATCATCATCATCATGGCATCTTTGGAAATAAGGGAAGATTTTGCACCCATGAAATAAGAACAGAAGCATAAGCAAGAAACATCCAAAATGCATGTTAAAAAAAAATCTTTGAAATTGAAAATCTGATGGTAGAGACAAACAAAAAATCAATAAAAGAAATGGAAAAAGAACAAAAGGACAAAAAAGAAATGGGAAATAGTGTAGAGGTCTCCCCCAGCCAAAAAAAAAAAAAAAAGGAGCAATAAACAGGAAGGAAGACTAAGGAAAATTAGAATCTCAGACCAGGAGATCCAACATGTGAGTAATAAGAACTTTAAACCTGGAAGGGAGGAAATATCAAAGATATAACTCAGGAGCAGATACTCTTTTTTTTTTTTTTTTTTACAGAGTTTCACTCTTGTCGCCCAGACTGGAGTGCAATGGTGCAACCTCAGCTCACCGCAATCTCTTCCTCCCAGGTTCAGGTGATTTTCCTGCCTCAGCCTCCTGAGTAGCTGAGACTACAGGTGCATACCACCACACCCGGGTAATTTTTGTATTTTTGGTAGAGACGGGGTTTCACCATGTTGGCCATGCTGATCTCAAACTTCTGACCTCAGGCAGTCTGCCCTCCTTGGCCTCCCAGAGTGCTGGGATTATAGGCATGAGCCACCACACCCAGACAGGAGCAGAGATTCTCAAGTGTTTTGGTCCAGGATCTCTTACGTGCTTAAAAATACTAAAGACCCAAAAAGCTTTTTTGTTTGTGTTTTATTATGTTTTGTTTGCCACATTAGAAATGAAAACTGAGAACTTGTTATCTGTTTACTAATACTAAAAAAGAAGCCCATATATTTTTAGAAAAATAATTTTGCCACTTTTTCCACTAATTTTTGTTTGTTTTGGAACTGTTTTGCGTTTTTACAGATCTTTTTACTGCCTGACTTACTAGAAGACAGCTGAATTCTCATATCTGCTTCAACTTTCCATCTGTTGTGATATCACATGTCATGTAGACCCTGGAAAAGTTCACTGTACTCTCATGAGAGAATGAAAGTTTAAAAATTTAATAATGTTTCAGTGTTTGTATGAGGTCCAACTTTGTGGACCTCCTAAAGGGGTCTCATTTCAGGAACCCCAGGGGTCCTTAGACCACACTTGGAGAACTACTATCCAGATCATTTCCCAAATTTTTACATTGGCTCAGTATATGAGAAAAGACCCACCCAAAGCCTACTATCACAATGTTGTAATTATGTCAACTAAGGGAAAACTCTAAAAGCTTTCAGAATGGGCTGGGGATCAGAATGATATTGGAATCTCAAGAGCAGCTTTGGAATCTATAAAGCAGCAGATAGCTCCCTGAATACTCAGAGAAAATTGCTTCCAACCAAGAATTTTATATCTACTGATGTTATGAGCCAAGTGTGAAGGGAGAACATTTTTGAAACAGGAAGAGTCTCAGAAAGCATACCTCCTGTTACTCTTTCTGAGAAAGCTATTGCTTGATTTTGTAATCTCCCAAAGGAAGGAATACATTGGAAAGAGTATCTAAGAAGCAAGGCATTCAATACAGGAGACCAGCAAAGGTCATCATTAGGATTATGTTGAAGAAATAATCAGCAGGCCTGGAGAGCAGCCTGTCCAGGTTGAAGCAGAGGTCACCAAGAAAAAAATGCAAACAATAGAATATCTGAAGTTTGAACACAGTGAGACAAGATTTATACTTCTGGCACACAATTTGAGAATAAATTAATGGTGTTGACCTTGAAAAACGAGAAAAAAGAGAAACAATTTTAACTCCAGGGAAAACATGGTTCTCTAAGAAAGGAAATGAAATCATCGTATACTCTAAGGCTAACAGGGAATAATATTTACATAGTCTTAAAGATGTAAATTCTGATATTTAATCTAATCAAATTGCATAACAGAACTAGTTGAGAAGCTGGGTACAGTGGCTCACACTATCCAGCACTTCAGGAAGATCACTTGAGCCCACGAGTTTGAGATCTGCCTGGTTGACAGAGTGAGACCCTGTCTTTAAAATTAAAACAAAAAAAAAAAAAAAGATCTTAGAACTAGTTGAGGAGACAGAAGGGTAAGTTTAAGTTTGGAGAAACTGAGAAGTAAATAATATCTAAAAATAAAAACTAATGAAAACTCATAATCAGCATGTTTAGAAACATGGACTTTCTTAGAGCAGAAGCAGCCTAAAGAATTGAAAATGCTTCTGGGCAGTGCCCATTGAGAATGAGAAGCAGAAAACAAGAAACTGCTTGTTTTTATCATAATTCCTGTGAACTACTATACTTTTATTAAATATATAACATGGCTCATTGAAATAAACACTTAACATAGTAAAGTATATATTAATATAACTTATGTGGAGTGCAATTTGGAAATGTGTTAACGTTTACACTGAGAATATTCTTTGGCCCATCAATTCCATATATAGAATTTAATCCAACAGTGTGAGAGTCATTGAATTAATTATGGTACAGTCACACAATGAAGTATTATGCTTTTATTTAAAAAATGATACTGCCAGTAAAAAAATAACGTGGATTTGCATTTGAGGAAAGATACTTCCCTCCCCAGCATATCTCTCCTTTAAAGCACTATCTCTATTATAATTTTGTTAGTGTGATTTTTTTCTGTTTTTGAGACGGAGTCCCACTCTGTCGCCCAGGCTGGAGTGCAATGGTGCAGCCTTGGCTCACTGCAACCTCCGACTCCCAGGTTTAAGCAGTTCCCTTATCTCAGCCTCCCAAGTAGCTGGGACTACAGGTGACTGCCACAACGCCCGGCTAATTTTTTTGTATTTTTAGTAGAGATGGGGGTTTCTGCATGTTAGCCAGGCTGGTCTCAAACTCCTGACCTCAGGTGATCTGCCTGCCTAGGCCTCCCAAAGTGCTGGGATTACTGGTGTGAGCCACCGCGCCTGGGCTGTCAGTGTGAAAGTTTATTGAATGCCTGACTCTTCAAGTGGATTGGAAGCTCCGTAATACCAGAGCCAGGGGGTCTCCAACCCCCAAGTCACGGAGCAATACCAGTCTGTGAGCTGTCAGGAACTGGGCTGCGCAGGAGGAGGTGAGCAGCAAGAGAAGCTGAGCCCTACGCCCTGTCAAATCAGTGGCGGCATCAGATTCTCATAGGAGTGCGAACCCTATTGTGAATGGTGCATGCTCAGGATCTAGGTTATGAGACTCTAACGATAACTGTAATGCGCTTGAATCATCCAAAACCATCCCCACAACCCAGTCTGTGGAAAAGTTGTCTTCCACAAAACTGGTCCCTGGTACCAAAAAGGTTGGGGACCCCTGAGAGCCCATATCTCACTTCGCTCACTGATGTGTTCCTAATTCTTTACACTGTGCCTGGTAAGCAGGCAGCTGTTTGATGTCTAAATGAGCATGAATGAGCATTCATGTAGATGAATGACAAGCATCTATAAAACTGAAATTATAGGCAGGGCTTAACTCTGGTGGGAGAGCTATGGGTTCAACCTGTGTTTAATCCCCTGCTCCACCATGACCCTGGGTAAGTCCCTTACCTAAGCCTGGGATACAATGACAGCAGGTCCTCAGTTAACCAATTATATGATTCCTTGTAAATGCCATGGAAATGTTTAAACTTTTAAATTGTACAAAATGTTCTCATCCAGAAGACTATAATCTAATACTTCCTGGCTGTTATTTTTTTATTAGTGAACTTCTGCAAGATTTGGAAAACTGTGAAAATGATCCTGTGGCCATAGCAGAGTGTTTTGTGTCCAAGGTAAGCAGGGTTCATTTTTCTGGGCCAATTGAGACAGATACAGAGTACAGAATTTTTCATTTTAAAGTTAAAATGACTTGTTGGTTTCATATCAGTTGGAGTTAGTCACTGATGTTTCTCTGGTCTGTTTGTTTCAGTAGCAAAAATGTGTTGTTCCTGAAGAAAGGGAGACACTAACCTGTAGTTGTTCTAGAACTTACACAGTAACTGAATAATGTTACTCTTTGCTAGGAAAAACTTAAAGCTTGAGAGGGGAGAGTCTGGAGTAGAAGAATGTTAGACAAATAGGCCAGGCACGGTGGATCACCTGAGGTCAGGAGTTCGAGACAAGCCTGGCCAACATGGTGAAACCCCATTTCTACTGAAAAAAAAAAAAAAAAAAAAAGCCAGGCACAGTGGCTCAAGCCTGTAATCCCAGCACTTTGGGAGGCCGAGGCGGGCAGATCACGAGGTCAAGAGATCAAGACCATGCTGGCCAACATGGTGAAACCCTGTCTCTACTAAAAAAAAAATACAAAAATTAGCTGGGCGTGGTGGCGTGCGCCTGTAGTCCCAGCTACTGGGGAGGCTGAGGCAGGAGAATTGCTTGAACCCGGGAGGTGGAGGTTGCAGTGAGCCGAGATTGTGCCACTGCACTCCAGCCTGGTGCCTGGCAACAGAGTGAGACTCTGTCTCAAAAAAAAAAAAAAGAAAGAAAAAAAACTTCAAGAGAATCGAGATATTTTATGTATAATATATGTGGCACTAGCCTAGTCTCTATAATTATCTTTAATGTAGATAATTATCTTTTGAAGGATAGAAGCAGGATTAATCTCCTACATTTTAAAAATGTACTATTTTACAGTTTTCTTAAGATGCATCAATGGTTTAGAAAAATACAAGGATTTGACTTTCAAAGCTTAAATGACCTGCGCTCATGCTCCAAACTCGAATAGCAGATGGAATTCTGAAACATACCCAACGAGCCTTTCCTACATTACTTTCTCAGTATGCTACCTAGTATATATAGATCCTGGTCTTGTTTAAATTCCCTTAAACATTCAACGGCTTTTGTTTGGAAAGCCTTTAGCGAAATTGTTTTGCAGCAAACCTTCATGTGGTTTCTGCAGTTGTAGTTTGAAGAAGGTTTAAGAAAAGTTCATGACGACGCTTTGAGACCCACTGGGAATTAGCACTTCATTTTGAGCCCCGGAGTCCGGTGTGAACGGGGAGAGGTCATTCCAGTCTGACCTGGCTCTGGATTGTCCCACAGGGTCTTTTCTGATGGCGGCAGATCCATCCGGATGGCTTCCAAACACAACACCCTGGGTTTTATTGGAGCGAAGTTCCTTAAAGGCAATCCGCGGGCTCATATATAAAACTCTCCTGACTTTGTGTGTATATGTTCACATGTAAAATGTTTGCGCACACACATTTACACGTGTAAGCGTACACATACAATCCTTTTCACAAGTTGCCGGTGTCAAAATTGGGCAGGGCTTTGAAAAAAAAAGAAGAAGAAGAAAAATGAAAGACAGAGAAATGGGTAAAAAGATATGCTGAGTATTTCAGAGGAGGTATGTTAAAATAACCACAGCACATAAACAACGTAGAAGCTTCCGGAAACGCTTGGGCCTTCGCTGGCAACTAATCACAAGTTGATTAAAGATGTTCCAGCGTATGCGTAGCTCTCGCTTAATTATTCACATAAAAGTTTGTTTATGTGCCATGTTGCCAACTCCCAAATCTTCCTTTTCATTGTAATATTGCCAAGTTTAATTAGAAGACTGACTTAAGCACTCGCACTTTCGCCTGGAAACGGGGTGGTGAGGGAGTGCTGGGCCAGGCACCGCCTGCCTTTCACTCAGCACCCTGACATTTACAAGATGTTACGTCTTCTGAAACACAACACGCAGCTCAACTCTAAGGAGGAATGGAAAATTGCTTTAATTGGGAGGCCATTAATGAAAGAGGTGAAGCTGGCGGTTGACTTCGGCTTTTATCTGAACCACTGAGGCTTGCACAGAGATTCATCTTTGACCTTGCTTACTGTCGTGGTATGTGTAGGTTACCAAAATCCTTGTCGACAAATGGAGAACATGGTTGCTTTTTACCTGGTGCTCATGGAAGAATGAACCCACGGTTCTCTCGAAGGACAGAAATTAAAGTTCCCTACTAGGCAAGCCAAACCTCCCAGTAAATATTTGTCTGTTTTAGGTCTCTGGAAACACCTAGAATGGCCCACTTTGCTGCCTTTACCTCCACCCTCACATCCATCCCTCATCTTGACTGGCAGCAAGGCTGACCCAGGGCAACGTTTAGAAGGGGAACAAAGTCTGTCCTTAGAACCTCAACGTTCCCTTAGTTGCCTCCTCTCCCTCACTGTCTGGCTCTCTCTCTGTTGGTGCCGCCTTCTTTTAGAGCCCAGGGAGTGAGCATGTGTGTGCGCACACACACATGCACACACACACGCACATGCACACACACACGAGCATGCACACACATGCACACACACACAAGCATCCACACACACCCACATGCACACACACACGAGCACACGCACACACAAGCATGCATATGTGCCACCCACTTACTGAAATTATCCTCAAGGAAGTGTGGATATTGGATAGTCATATCATTAGAGTGAATTTAAGTCAAAGTTAGCTTATCCATATGCTATTTACACATTAAGTCTTTCTTGTAGTGTCCAGTGAAAACTTCTTAGGAATCAGAGAGGGAAAGGAGGACCCTGTGGCAGAAGAAACCCTAAAATCACACATACTGCTTTACTGTGGCTACCTATTCAATAAAATTTGAGGGACCCATGTGTTTGATTGGTCAAGCACTGATTATGTCATATTTTGGCTTTTTCATATCTCTAATTACAACTTGAAAGATTTGAAGAACAAGAAGGAAATATCTTTTTTTTTTTTTTTTTGAGACAGAGTCTCGCTCTGTCACTCAGGCTGGAGTGTAGTGATGTGATCTCGGCGTACTGCAACTCTGCCTCCCAGGTTCAAGTGATTCTCTGCCTCAGCCTCCTGAGTAGCTGGAATTACAGGTGCTCGCCACCACACCCAGCTAATTTGTATATTTTTAGTAGAGATGGGGTTTCACCATCTTGGCCAGGCTGGTCTTGAACTCCTGACCTCGTGATCCACCTGCCTCGGCCTCCCAAAGTGCTGGGATTACAGGCGTGAGCCATTGTGGCTGGCCAGGAAATATCTTTACTTATAATTTGTATATATTTGTAAAACATATTCCCCTAAATCCTTCAGTGGATTTGGGGTGGTATATTTAATAACTAATGGTATGTAAGGATTTAACTAACTAGGAGCTGTTGATTTTTGTGTGAAATCATCATTTGTAAGGTCCACAGAGCTTTCCACACCTAAGGGCAAACTTGCATTTAATTCCAATTAAGGATATATAGCGGATTTAAATCAAAACCTTCCGATTTAAAATAGGGATAGAGCCATGATGTCACAAAATGCACATAAATTCAATTGTGCAGAAGTCACGAGGTCTTATGATAGCTGGGTGTGAGTAGGTCAACTATATTATGCAATGTAAACCTATTTCATTGAAACTATTGTTTTCTAATTTGGTATTTCAAATGATCCTACAGGTCCCAAAATGTAAGAAAAGCCAACTTGATACTGTTCAATTCCAGGTTGGTATAGCAAAAGGCAGGAAAGAAAAAGCAAGAAACTCAGTAAGTGTGAGCCAATCAGAGAGAAGTCCCCATTTGGTACATTAACTCACTCACAGACCTTGAGCAAGTCCCTCTGCCATTTTCATCCATGGAGCCAGGGCTGGCTTCAGGAGCCAGTAAGTGAACTCAGGTGCACAAAGGGGCCCAGGTGGAGTCTATAGCAATCGAGGTGTTTTCCTGGTCTCCTGGGGATGCTCATTGCCATGGGAAACTGCAGGCCCAGGGCTGGTGGGTCTTACATTTTTCAGGAGAAGCTAGAAATTGAAATATTTATATCTTTCAACTTTTAAAAGTTGGCAACTAATTTAGCTTTTTTAAAATACCATGCTTGAAAATTTGGTACAGTGCTGGAAGTGTTAGCAAGGCCATGGGGTAACAGACATTCTCACAATTGTAGAAAAGCAAAATGGCCTGGACCCTATGGAGAGGAAGTGGGCTATGCATCGAGCATCCGAATTTACCCTTTCACCCACCAAGCCTGCATCGAGAGATCTGTTCTAGAGATACACTGACAGAAATTCATGTCAGCATAATACTGTTCTTTGCAGCAATGTTTGTAACTGCAATAGACTAGAAACAGCCCAAATGTCCCTATACAATAAGCTGGTTGAATCAACTGTAGTATGTCTACATAATGAAGCACTGTGAGGCAATAACAGTAAAGAATATCTCTGCTGGGCGCAGTGGCTCACGCCTTTAATCCTAGCACTTTGGGGGGCCGAGGTGGGCAGATCACCTGAGGTTGGGAGTTCAAGACCAGCCTGGCCATCATGGTGAAACCCCATCTCTACTAAAAATACAAAAAATTAACCAGGTGTGGTGGCAGGCACCGGTATTCCCAGCTGCTGGGAGCCTGAGGCAGGAGAATCACTTGAAATCAAGAGGCGAAGGTTGCAGTGAGCCGAGATCACACCACTGCATTCCAAACCTGGACGACAGAGTGAGACTCCATCTCAAAAAAAAAAAACAAAAAACAAGAAACAAAAAAACAACTATACACTCCTCAGGGGAGGGAGTGGATAAAAGTCATTTCCGAAGTGTGGTCCTGGACCTACTGCATCAACGTCACTTGGGAAGTCTTTAGAAATGCAGATTCCTAGGCCCTACCCCAAGACCCACTACATCAGAAACCCAACAATCTCTGTTTTAACAGGCCTTCCAGGTAATTCTGATACTCAAGTTTGAGGATCACTGGTATAACATGATTTGTTTATCTAGGAGAGAAAAACCTGTCAGATTAAAAATTGGTTACCAAGGGAGGAATGGAGGGAACAAATTAGAAGGGAAAGAATAGAGGTTAGCCTTCTTTTTTTTTTTTTTTTTTTAAGATGGGTTTCACCATGATGGCCAGGCTGGTCTTGAGCTCCTGACCTCTTGTGATCCACCCACCTCAGCCTCCCAAAGTGCTAGGATTACAGGTGTGAGCCACCGCGCCCGGCTCGAAGTTAGGCTTCGTTAGAGCTGGGAGCCGTGACTCACACCTGCAATCTCAGCACTTTGGAAGGCCGAGGTGGGTGGATCACTTGAAGACAAGAGTTTGAGACCAGCCTGCCAAACATGACAAAACCCCATCCCTACTTAAAAAAAAAAAAAAAAATTAACTGGGCCATAGTGGAATACACCTGAGGAAGCTGAGCTGTGAGATTCGTTTGAACCCGGGAAGCAGAAGTTGCAGTGAGCTGAGATGGCACCACTGTATTCCAGCCTAGGTGCCAGAGTGAGAATCTTTCTCAAGAAAAAAAAGAGGTTAGAATATGAATTCTTCTTGGAATATGAATTTCTTTGTAAAGTTGACTTTGAGGCCATATAAATATTTTACATAATTATAGAACAAAATGAAGGTTTAGAAAAGCAGCCTCCAAAAATTGAAAGCAAAATTAAACTATATTCAGTTGATGGCATAACCATGCAAAAGGAATTTCCATTGATTTGAAAATATGCTTTAGATGAAATACAGCAAATACATCTCTGTTTTAGTAATGATACTATTTATGGTGGTGTTGCTATTGTTATTCTGAAATTATTGAGTGTGTTGTGGGATAAAACAAAGAAGTATTTATGTTAGCATCACTGAGAAATGGAATTGGTAGGAGAAAGAAAACACAGACAAAAGAATAAGTGTAGCTAATCAAAAGTCCTATGGTCCGGTATCTGAATCATTAATGTAAATGTTGGTATGAACTAAGGTTGTATTTTATCCTTTAAAAAAACACCACTTACTAGCCTGGCCAACATGGTGAAACCCCATCTCTACTAAAAATACAAAAATTAGCCGAGCGTGGTGGTGCATGCTTATAGTCCCAGCTACTTGGGAGGCTGAGGCAGAAGAATCACTTGAACCCAGGAGGTAGAGGTTTCAGTGAGCCAAGATTGCATCTTTGCACTCCAGCCTGGGCAACAGAGCGACAGAACGAGACTCAGTCTCAAGAAATAAAAATAAAAAAACATACCACTTCCTGGCCAGGTATGGTGGCTCACGCCTCTAGTCCCAGCACTTTGGGAGGCTAAGGCAGGTGATCACCTGAGGTCGGGAGTTTGAGACCACCCTGGCCAACATGGCGAAACCCCATCTTTACTAAATATACAAAAATTAGCCAGGTGTGGTGGCAAGTGCCTGTAGTCCCAGCTACTCAGGAGTTGGAGGCAGAGGTGGGAGAATCACTTGAACCCTGGAGGCGAAGGTTGCAGTGAACCAAGATGGCACCGCTGCACTCCAGCCTGGGTGACAGAGCAAGACTCCACCTCAAAAAGAATCAAAACACCACTTTCTAACTCTGTCTGCTGGAAAAGTCCTAGAAATGACAGTTACCCTACAGCAAGTGTCCCTGATACCCAGACTGTGGTCTCCAAACACTGTTACCTGCCAGAAGGAACAGGGGATCCATGAAGAATGACTGTGGGGCATGAAATATACAAGGTAGCCTGGAACATCTTGTCACACCAGGAAACAAGCTACAAAAGACCATGGGCCAGGTCATGAATGCTCAAGAAAGGGCTCCTATAGCCAACAATGGGATAATTTGAGCATCAGTCGAGATAATTAACTGAAAACAATGGAAACTCATTAAATAGGCTCATGTTAATGAATTTGCAGTGATATTAAAAACCAAATTGATTACCTTTTCACGATACTAGAGAACCAATACATTATTTTGAAAATTAAAGTATTGGCTGGGTATGGTAGCTTATGCGTGTTATCCCCTACACTTTGGGAGGCTGAGGCAGGGGATTGCTTGAGCCCAGAAGTTTGAGACCAGCCTGGACAACATTGTAAGACCCTGTCTCCATAAAAAAAATTTAAAACTTAGCCAGAGGTGGTGGTACACCTGTGGTCCCAGCTACTCTGGAGACTGAGGTGGGAGGATCACTTGAGCCCAGGAGGTTGAGGCTGAAGTGAACCATGACCACACCACTGTTCTCCAGCCTGGATGTCAGATCAAGACTCTGTCTTGAAATAAAAAAGGAAAGAATTAAGCATTTATCTGTCTTTCCCATATAAACCATAAACTGCAGAGTAACCAAGAGTTAATAGAAAGAGGTTATTTTTTTTGGACAGATTCTAGCTAATAAAAGCTAATAAATAAGGAATAAAGTATTATAAATACCACCGTCTTTCAACCCCTAACAAATAGAGTTAGCCAATAAGTACCAATGGCTGTTAGCATCACAGAAGACAGACAACCAGACTTTATGACCATTACACTTCCTGATTCCATTAGAGGAAGCACCATACAATCACTAATGCATTGTGCCATTGAACCTAAACCTGAGGAAGCCTCTATTAAACCAGTAAGAGTATATTTATAAATAAAACCAGGCTGGGCGCGGTGGCTCACGCCTGTAATCCCAGCACTTTGGGAGGCCGCGGTTGGTGGATCACTTGAGGTCAGGAGTTCAAGACCAGCCTAGCCAACATGGCAAAACCCCATCTCCACTAAAAATGCAAAACTTAGCCAGATGTGGTAACGCATGCCTGTAATCCCTGCTGCTTGAGGCGCTGAAGCAGGAGAATCACTTGAACCTGGGAGGCAGAGGTTGCAGTGAGCCAAGATTGTGCCACTACACTCCAGCCTGGGCAACAGAGCAGCACTCTATCTCAAAAAAAAATTAAAAGGAAACTGTAATGATGTAATCAGTAGTACTGAGACTGGGCTGTGTAACACAACAGTACGGTTTCTTCAACTAACTTGCAAAAGGAAGAAAAATAGGGGAGAACTTAAAGATCAAAATAGACTAAAGAGGTATCAACCACTTGCTCTGTGTGATTTTCATTTGCAAAACAAACAGGCAAAATATTTTTTAAAAAGAGAAAAAAGGAAATATGGATAGTGACTGGCAAAACTCCATGATGTTATGGAATTATTTAAGTGTAACAATGATATTATGTTTAAAGTCCTTATTTTAGTCCAGTCACAGTGGCTCATGCCTAAATCTCAACACTTAGGGAGGCCAAGGTGGGTGGATCACTTCAGGCCAGGGGTTGGAGACCAGCCTGGCCAACATGGCAAAACCCTGTCTCTGCTAAAAATATAAAAAATTAGCTGGGCGTGGTGGCACATGCCTGCAGTCCCAGCTACTCAGGAGGCTGAGGCAGGAGAATTGCTTGAACCTGGGAGGTGGAGGTTGCAGTGAGCCGAGATCACGCCGCTGCCCTCCAGCCTGGCAACAGAGTGAGACTCTGTCTCAAAAAAATAAAAAATAAGCCCTTATTTTAGAGATACATGTTAAAATATTTACAAGCTAAATGATGTCTAGAATGTACTTCAAGGTGATGGGAAAACAGAGGCGCTGGGGGTGTAGAGAGGAGGACTTAATGATTATTGAGGTTGGACAACGGAAACTTGGGAATTCATTATACTGTCCTCTCTACTTTTATATATGCTTGAAACTTTCCATTAGAAAAAAAAAAGTTTAACCTAATTCCAGTTGAGGTTAACAGGAAGGATTCAAAGTAGAGATTTTAGAATTTAAAAAAATTAAAGCTACCAGAATAATAGGCAATAACGTAGAGTCACATGTAAATCCAGTATTAAGTGGTCTAAAAAGTAAAATCAAATCAAAGTTAAAAAAAAAAAAAACTGTAGAATGCAGAATCCACCAGAATAATCTGTGGCTCTTTTTCAAAATATAATTTCAAGGCCAGGCATAGTGGCTCATGCCTATAATCCCAGCACTTTAAGAGGCTGAGGTGGACAGATAACTTGAGACCAGGAGTTAGAGACAAGCCTGGCCAACATAGCGAAACCCCATCTCTATTAAAAATACAAAAAATTAGCTGGGCATGGTGGTGTGTGCCTGTAATCCCAGCTGCTGGGGAGGCTGAGGCACAAGAATCACTTGAACTGAGGAGGCGGAGGCTACAGTGAGCAGAGATCTTGCCACTGCACTCCAGACAGAGTCTCAAAAATAAAAAAGTAATTTCATTTTAGATTTTAGATTGTGCAAGAGCTAGTATTCCTTGGTCTTGAATTAGTTATTCTGACAGTCTTACCATCAAAAGTTCCATCCACTTCCCTTCCTGTATACATATCCCTTTTCTTTGGCAGCCTGGGAAAAAATTGTAAAAGACATTGAAATCCACCAGAGCTGGGCACTGTGGCTCATGCCTGCAATCCCAGCACTTTGGGAGGCTGAGGTGGGTGGATCACCTGAGGTCAGGAGTTCGAAACCAGCCTGACCAACATGGAGAAACCCCATCTCTACTAAAAATACAAAATTAGCCAGGCATGGTGGCTCATGCCTATAATCCCAGCTACTCGGGAAGCTGAGGCAAGAGAATCGCTTGAATCTGGGAGGCAGAGGTTGCAGTGAGCCAAGATCACGCCACTGCACTCCAGCTTGGGCAACAAGAGTAAAACTCCATCTCAAAAAAAAAAAAAAAAGTCAAGGCCTGAATGCTATTTCTTTTTATTGTTTTCAAATGAATATTTATGTCTGTGCTTTGTTGCCTATAAAAATTTCTTTCCTTTAATTGCAGAGTGAAGAGTTCCACATTTATACCCAGTATTGCACGAACTATCCAAGGTATGGATCAAGAACAGCCCAGGCATACTTTTGTTCACTTTCACATTGTTTCAAGTCAGCTGGAGCAATACAGGTGGTTGGTTAAGCATTCTGACCTGGTCCTCTGCTGAATACTATGGGAAGAATGCAAAACATGCTGAGAACAGATTACAGGGGCACCCAGATATGGGTCCATCTGGACTTTGGGGCTGCCTGAAGAGCCAGTGTGGGAGAAATTGTAAAAGTGTATGGAAGAAACCAAAAAGATGACTGGGTATCTCCAAAAGGATGCTAAGCCAGCTGTGCATCAGGCTGCAGGTCTTGTCTGCTAACCCTTTTCTGTGTGGGTCATGTTTTTAAGAATTTAGGAAACATTGCTAATGAGTTTCTATAATCTAGGTGGGGAGAAAACAGCTGCTGTTTTTGCCAGATACGTTTTATGAACTATGTAAGTTGAACAGAGTTCAGGGGAAGGACAGATCAGATCGCCATAAGCCTTGATGAGAAGCGGGCGGAGGCTCGCCTGGGTTGTTGCTTCGTTTTTCCTGACGTCAGAAAGCAATGGCAGAAGGGCGGTGTAGGAAACATCCTTGGACAGTGCGTCGACCATTTCAGTAAGGGAGTCAGGCCTAAGGTGATGGGCTACAACTGGAGGAATTTCTTTTTTTTTTCTCCAGAAGACATTTATTGGGCACTTAGTAATTCCTAAGCACTGTGCTAAATGCTCTAAATACAAAATACTAAATTTAACTTTTCAAAGCAATCCAGAGACATTGAGGGATTTTTCTTAACCCAGAACGCCCATCCCAGTGTCCGGCCCCTCCTAGGTTCTTCATAAGTGTGAGTTCATCGTCACCCCTGTCACTTCTCCAGTTCATGGATGAAATAGGCTGTGATAGCTTATTACAGTGATTCTATGAGGGGTGCAGGCTGATGAATGGCCCAGCTTGGATTTGAACCAAGGTTTTCTTCTCCGACTTGTAAGACCTCATGCTTACATGAGTATGTTCTTGTAGAAGTTTCTGAAACTTTGTGATTCTCCCCCTGCCTTTTTATTTTCCTTTTTTTCCCCACATGATTAGCAGGACTTTGAGTTATGGGGTTTTTTTCTTTCTTTCTTTTTTTTTTTTTTTGAGACAGAGTCTCACTGTGCCACCTAGGCTGGAGTGCAGTGGCGCAATCTCAGCTCACTGAAACCTCCCCTTTCCGGTTCAAGTAATTCTCCTACCTTATCCTCCTGAGTAGCTGGGATGACACCGCACCCCACCAGACTTTGAGCTATCTTAAGGACCAGCCAGGAAGAAGAGAGCTAGGGAGACTTTCCACACTCTGTGTCCGGTCTTGGTAGACAGGTCCCTGATGATAAAGTGGGTGGTAGGACCCATCTAGACGAGAAGCCAGCAGGATAAGCCCTGAGTGTTACTTCCAGAAGGGGAAAAAAAATGGGCTCCCTGCTCCCCACTGTCAGAAGCAACGCTGGAAAGCCAGTGTGGCTTAAAAGACCCCAGATGTTGCTGCATGTGGTAGTATGTACCTGTAGTCCCAGAGCTACTCCAGAGGCTGCGGCAGGAGGATAGCTTGAGCCTAGAAGTTTGAGGCTACAGTGGGCTATTATCGCACCACTGTACTCCAGCCGGGGCAACAGGGCAAGATCCTGTCTCATAAAGACCCAAGAAGCAGCCAGGTGCAGTGTAATCATGCCTGTAATCCTAGCACTTTGGGAGGCAAGCAGATCACCTGAGGTCAGGAGTTCAGGACCCACCTAGGCAACATGGTGAAACCCCGTCTCTACTAAAAATACAAAAACGAGCCAGGCGTGGTGGCACATGCCTGTAACCTCAGCCACTCAGGACACCAAGGCAGGAGAATTGCTTGAACCCAGGAGGCAGTGGTTGCAGTGCCAAGATCGTGCCACTGCACTTCAGCCTTGGCAAAAGACCAAGACTCTGTCTCAAAAAAAAAAGGACCCAAGAAGCCAGAAGTTCAGAGGCTCAACTTATGGCAAATACTTTTCCTTGTGGGACCCATGCTTTCCCCAGATTTCCTTAAAAAAACAAATAAAATATAAAAAACCTACATGCATATTAGAACATTTATCACACATCTGTATCTGTAGACCCACCCATAGTTAATTTACATGGTTTCACTTAAGCAATTTTCTCTCTTAAAGTATTTGTTTCCACTTTAATGCTGAAAACATCAGAAGATTGCAGCATGCCCTGACTAAATCCCAAGGTTCTAAACCAAAAACTAGCTGGCCTCCCACCCCAATTCAGAGAAATCACAGAATCAGCCGTCAACTTCTCCACAAAACTTCTTCCTCAAGGAAGGAAAAAACATTCAGATTCTGAAGATCAACAAAGTTCTGGACCCAATTATGAGACTCTAAAATGATATAGGAGCTTGTTTGGGGAATTAGGTTTGTATAAATTTCAGTATAAACATATCATTTGAAGAAATAACTTCTTAATTTAAACTTCCAAAGTTGCAAATTCAGATTTTGTGATTTACTAAGAAGAGTACAAAATAAAAACCGCTTCTTTATATGCTAGGCTGCTTCAGACCCAGAGAAAGGCAAAATCACTTGTGCAAGGACATTTTTACGAGCTTGTCATTCTGGCTGGGTGCGGAGGCTCACACCTGTAATCCCAGCACTTTGGAATGCTGAGGCGGGCGAATCACTATGTCAGGAGTTCAAGACCAGCCTGACCAATATGGGGAAACCCTGTCTCTACTAGAAATACAAAAATTAGCCATGTATGGTGGCTCGTGCCTGTACTCCCAACTACTTGGGGAACTGAGGCAGAAGAATCGCTTGAACACTGCACTCCAGCCTGGGCAACAGACCAAAACTTAGTCTCAAAAAAAAAGCCTGTCATTCATGGAGCAGTGTCCCAAACTTGGTGTATGTTGGCAGGAAATAGCAAACAATATCTCTTGCCTTCAGGCAGCTTCTATTCCTTTGAAGGTCAGATGTAACTAAATGCAATGGTAGAAAAGCATGTTTTAGAAGATCAAATAAATATAAATTAACAGCAAAAACTCAGTAATGTGTAATAAAAGCTCAAAGTTAAGGATAATTTTCTGGAGAAAGTTGTCTTTTTTTTTTTTTTTTTTTTTTTTGAGGCAGTCTTACTCTGTCACCCAGGCTGAAGTGCAATGGCATGATCTCAGCTCACTGCAATCTCTGCCTCTCAGGTTTGAGCAGTTCTCCTGTCTCAGCCTCCCAAGTAGCTGGGATTACAAGCACACGCCACCATGCCCAGCTAATTATTTTTAGGAGAGATGGGTTTTACCACGTTGGCCAGGCTGGTCTCAAACTTCTGACCTCAAGTGATCCACCAGCGTCAGCCTTCCAAAGTGCTGGAATTATAGGCATGAGCCACCATGCCTGGCAAGAAAGTTGTCTTTTTTTTTTTTTTTTAAACAAAATTGAATCTGACTTTGAAGAAACATGTTAGCAGAGAGGTACTCAAAAGTTGTTCTCAGTAAAGAAGACATGTCTGTTTCTTGTCCATTTGTGTGGTTTTCATATTCATAGAGAAATATCGTATCTTATATCCAATCAGTTTCTCTCTGAGACCCGAGGTTCCCTTCCCCCATTTAACAAGCCAAGAGTGCAAGGTGTCTCAGCCTATCTGACAATTTTCCTTCCCGCTTTGGATCCAGGGTGGTGATATTAAATGTCGCTGGCACATCTTGACAGTGTCCACTTCCTTTATACCAGTCACGCTCCAATGATTTTACTGTGAAGAGACACAAGCTCCCACCTTCCGTTCCCCAGAGAGGGGTGCAAACCCAGCCAGGTCCTTGTCTTCAGATACCTGCCTGTCCCTAAGACTTCCAGGAACCTGGAGCTCAGCCTGCTCTTAATTTGTTGCAGGTTCTTACCCTTGAGCAACAGCCGAAGCCTTCAGGTGGCCAGAGGGCTACAGAGCAGCCAAATCTGGCTCTAAATAACCTTAGAAACATTCCTAGGAGAGGAGATGGAGACTTTTGAAACCTCGACTCAAGGGGAAAATAAATCAGTGTGAATGGATATTTCTCAAAGTAGACTGGCGCAAAAGGGATTCTGTGGCTTAATTATGAAACTTCCATTTCACCTCCTTCCTCATGGTCTTTGTTGTTTGGCTCTATCTGATTTTTTTTCAATTAATCCTGGAAACATTACTGACTTAGGGAGAAAAGGGCTGAAATTATTTCTGCTTGCTTCCTTCTACACTTTTTTTTTTTTTAAGAGAGAAAAATTTTTTTTTTTTGCATATCATCAAGTTTATTTTAATATAAACATTTATCTTACATGCAACCTAAAGAATCTCCAATTTATTTGCTGTATAAATATGGTGATATTTTATTAATTTAATAATCTGAGTAGTGTAGGTAAGGATAAGATATATCAAAATAATATGTTTGAGGGCAAGATAATTATATCTATCAGGTCAAATACGCTGTCTATAAGATAGATGATTTTTGATAAGTCAAATTTTAGCAAAATCTCACTTACTTGAAGTTATTATCTGGAAACTTCAGATATCCATAATCCAGTCAAGAAGTTTGAAGAAAATACCTCATTCCACCAAAAAAAAAAAAAAAAAAAAAAAAAAAGGATCTTCTAAGCAGCCAAGACTTGTAATGATATGAAGTACTGAAAGTGTATGCTTAACAGAGTAAGATTCAGTTGTTTGAAAATTTACTTATATGGATTTTTCCATGCCTAACAGTGCTGAATGAATAAAATATCCTTCTACACTTTGAGAACAAAGACTTTAATTTACCCGTGTGTGACTGCAAAGCCGTTAGCTTGCTTTGTGATGTGAGCATTGTTTCAGCCATTGCCTTAAGGTGTTTTGGGGCTGCGTATGCTTATCACTTCAGGGGGATCTGGGTTGGAGAAGGAATTCTAACCTACATTTGGAACACCGTGATCTGAGACACTCTCCAGAGGAGCAAGACTCTCTGGCCTTCCCAGGAGCCGTATTACGTGTAAGAAGAACCACTTGGAGGTAGAAAGGGAGACTTATTCAAAGATTCTCACAGGGAAGTTACTCACGGGAAGCGGTCTCTAAGGAAGGCCACCACATAGGGTCACACAGTTTGTGCATCTTATAAAAGTGACCAGCGGCCGGGCGCAGTGGCTCACGGCTGTAATCCCAGCACTTTGGGAGACCAAGGCAGGCGGATCATGAGGTCAAGAGATCGAGACCATCCTGGCCAACATGGTGAAACCCTGTCTCTACTAAAAATACAAAAAAATTAGCTGGGTGTGGTGGCATATGCCTGTAGTCCCAGCTACATGGGAGGCTGAGGCAGGAGAATTGCTTGAACCTGGGAGGCGGAGATTGCAGTGAGCTGAGGTCGCGCCACTGCACTCTAGCCTGGCGCCTGGTGACAGAGTGAGACTGTCTCAAAAAAAAAAAAAAAAAAAAAGGGGGGACCAGTAGAGGGGGTGATAAATGTTCTGACAGGGCTGGATCTTCTAGCAAGAAGGAACTCCTTTATCTTAGTACAAAGGTGCCTAGTCCTTTTAATGTAACCTGTGGAAATGGAATAAAGATGTGTGAGCACTGCACAAAGATACCCAGATAGGGCACAACTAGGGGCCCTGGCACAAGCCTGCATCTCCTAGAAGGAAGGAACTTGTTCCTTAGAAGCCATGAGCCCATGGTGCCAGTGCCAGTGGGTCTGGTGCCTTTTTCTTTTTTTGAAACGGAGTTTCCCTTTTGTTGCCCAGGCTGGAGTGCTGTGGTACAACCTCGGCTCGCTGCAACCTCTGCCTCCTGGGTTCAAGCAATTCTCCTGCTCAGCCTCCCGAGTAGTTGGGATTACAGGCATGCACCACCACACCCGGCTAATTTTTTTGGATTTTTAGTAGAGATGGGGTTTCTTCGTGTCGGTCAGGCTGGTCTCAAACTCCTGACCTCAGATGATCCTCCAGCCTCAGCCTCCCAAAGTGCAGGGATTACAGACATGAGTCACCGTGCCTAGCCCCAGTGCCTTTTTCTAATTTCCTTTTTGTTAACTCACCCTCCCAGAGGAAGCTTTCTCCATTTTGCCTAAAGTCATGCTGATCTGGCCACAGCTCTGCAGCTACCCTACTCTTTTTAGGGCATTTACACTTGCAATGACATTTAAAACTTGAATATCCCCGTAAAGCATTACAATGTAGATAATAGCATGGACTCTTTCTGCAGATCCGTGGCCATGCTAACAGAGTGCATGAGGAACAAGATACTGGCCAAATTCTTCAGGGAACGTCAGGAAACTCTGAAACACTCGCTGCCTCTGGGGTCCTATCTCTTGAAACCAGTTCAGCGGATTCTCAAGTATCATCTCCTTCTGCATGTAAGTTTCTGCCTGGCGTGAGCACTTTCCAGGGGATGGGAGTTTTGTGTGTATATATTAAGTTTGGGGGAAAATACCAGAAAATGCTGCGGACATATGGAAGCATTTCCCACACTCATATTTCACAACTGACTAATCTGCTTTGAGGATTTAGAGATATTTATATTCTAGACCCAAAGCCCCATTGACAACAGCCAAGAGAAGAGATTAATCTTAGCTCTGATTCTGATGGGGCTTAGGAGTGCCTCGCCCTAGGCACTGACAGTTTCAGGCAGGGAGCTATCATGCAAATGAAAAACAGATTTTGTAATGTTTCCATCAGCCCTGATTCAGTAGGCAATTGAAAGGAAAAGCTCTTTGTCATAGATTGGCTTTTGTATGGAGAGCAAAGAGAAAGGGCTGAAAAGGGAGAGGACAGATAAGTGGCCTCAGAGCTGAGCTTAGCATCACTGCAGGTATTTCCTCTTACATTATTTTCTACTACTTTTACAAAATTCAAGAAGGCTTTAGAAACAAAGGTAATCATAGCTCTTAAACCCTTTTTTCTTTTCTTTTCTTTTCTTTTCTTTTCTTTACTTTTCTTTTTTCTTTTTTTTTTTTTTAGAAGTCTTGCTCTGCTGCCCTGGCTAGAGTGCAATGGCACGATCTCCACCCCCCAGGTTCAGGTGATTTTCCTGCCTCAGCCTCCCAAGTAATTACAGGCACTCACTACTTTGCTAGGCTAATTTTTGTATTTTTTTAGTAGAGACGGGGTTTCACCATCTTGGCCAGGTTGGTCTCGAACTCCTGATCTCATAATCCACCCTCCTCGGCCTCCCAAAGTGCTGGGATTACCACCATGCCCAGATTTTTTTTTTTTTTTTTTTTTTAAGACAGAGTCTGGCTCTGTCGCCCAGGCTGAAATGCAGTGATGTGATCACAGCTTACTGTAACCTCTGCCTCCTGGGCTCAAGCGATCCTTCCACCTCAGCATCCTAAGTAGCTGGGACTCCAGGTGTGCACCACCATGCCCAGCTAATTTTTTTTGTATTTTTGGTAGAGATGGAGTTTCAACATGTTGCCCAGGCTGGTCTCAAACTACTGAGCTCAAGTAATCCTCCTGTCTCAGCCTCTGAAAGTGCTGGGATTACAGGCATGAGCCACCATGCCCAACCTCAAATTCTTATTTCTTACCCTCCAAAAAAGTTGATAGGAATGGGAAAAAAGGTATTATCATAGGTGATTTTCATTCTGAAGTAGAACTTGCTTACTTTTGTAGCAGAAGAAAGACAGTCCGGTGGAGTGGTTAGCAACAGGGCTCTGGGAAAGACTGCCTGAGTCTAAATCCCATAAATTGCCCACATTCACTGTGGCTCACAGGCACTGATAAAAATAAGCTATTGTGCTCGGATGTGGTAGCTCATGCCTGTAATCCCAGCACTTTGGGAGGCCAAGGGGGGTAGATCACCTGAGGTCAGCAGTTCAAGACCAGCCTGGCCAACATGGTAAAACCCCATCTCTACTAAAAATACAAAAAAATTAAGTGGACATGGTAGCGGGTGCCTGTAATCCCAGCTACTTGGGAGGCTGAGGCAGGAGAATCTCTTGAACCCGGGAGGTGGAGATTGCAGTGAGCCAAGATCGCACTACTGCACTCCAGCCTGGGCGACAGAGTGAGACTCCATCTCAAAATAAAATAAAAATAAAAATAAGCTATTGTTTTTATTATTTTTATGATACATTAAAATCTCCTTTTTCACCTTCTCCCTTCTTGGAAAAAAAAAAGAAAATCTCCTTTTTAAAGGAATTTTAATTCAGAGTTCCTCTCTATGTCAAAAGGCCTGCAATTTATAGGTATCTCTTTTTAAATGATTCTAGGTTTCTAACTTGGATAATTATTCCAGATTTGCTTGGTTCATATATATTTAAAATTTCAAGAACTTTGATGGTCCATCTTTACTAGTAATTTCTCAGCTTTGTCTGTTTGCCTGGGTAGCTCATCTTTGGAGAATATTATGTTCTATGAGGTCACATCAGGGATATCATTTTAATTTTTACATTGATCCTAATGACCTCTTAGATTTAGTGGGATTTATTTGCTAAATTATTGCCCAAATAATAATTTTTTTTTTTTTTTCTGAGACGGAGTTTTGTTCTGTCGCCCAGCCTGGAGTGCAGTGGCGCCATCTTGGCTCACTGTAATCTCCGCCTCCGAGTTCAAGCGATTCTCCTGCCTTAGCCTCCCAAGTAGCTGGGATTACAGGTGCCCACCACCACACCCGGCTTGTGTGTATGTGTGTTTGCTTGTTTTAGTAGAGATGGGGTTTTACCATGTTGGCCAGGCTGATATTGAACTCCTAATCTCAGGTGATCTGCCCATCTCGGCCTCCCAAAGTGCTGGGATTACAGCCGTGAGCCACTGTGCCCAGCTCCAAAGAATTCTTTTTGTTGTTGTTCTTGTTGTTGTTGTTGTTTGAGACGGAGTCTCACTCCGTCGCCCAGGCTGGAGGGCAGCCGTGCGATCTCAGTTCACTGTCACTGCAAACTCCGCCTCCTTGGTTCAAGCAATTCTAATGTCTCAGCCTCCCAAGTAGCTGGACACCAGCGCCTGCCACCACACCCAGCTAATTTTTGTATTTTTGGTAGAGACGGGGTTTCACCATGTTGGTCAGGCTGGTCTCAAACTCCTAACCTCAGGTGATCCACCCATCTTGGCCTGCCAAAGTGCTGGGATTACAGGTGTGAGCCACTAGATAATTCTTAAATAAATAATATTTGTGCAGGACACATCTCTGCTGAATTCCGTTAATATAACGTCTAAGACTAATGTGTCTCAAAAATCTCGAAATGGTCTACTAGACAGTAAGATGGCCTTCAGTAAAAAGGAAAGTTTAAGATCTCGGTTAACTAAACATGTGAGACAAGTTAAGATACTTACAAAGCGTTAATTAATAGGAAAAACAGCCTTTATCTTCCATATTAAGAGCTGGCAATGAAGAAAAAAGAAAGAACAGTGGTTGGATTAATCCAAAACTAACTTCTAGTTGCTTTTGAAGTGTTTTCTGTTTTTACAGTTGATTAGATGGCTCCTTCTATGTCATTCACATCATTTCAAAGTTATGTTGCCACCCGTGAAAATCCCCATAGAAATAGCCTCTGTACTTCCCAGTTTGTTTACTGATGAACACATTTGTCTCTCAGGTTAAAAGAAGAAATCATTATGTTTTTAAATTTGCCATTGAGGACCTTGTTAACAGCCGAGTCCAAGTATGGAAAGAAAATGTAAATTCCTTTGCAGTTTCTAGCTAGATGAAAAACTTGACGACTCAGTAGAAGTAAACAAAGATTTACATTGTTACTATAAAACAATAGGACTAGCCTTCAAGTGGTACCATAACATTGAACCTCCACCCATTAGCTGATTACGTATGATAAATGTCACGGGAACTATCTAATTGACTACAATGTTTTCTTACTGTTTTAAGTGCTAATATAGGATTACTGTTATTGTTGTTTTTAAGAAGGCAATAGTTTCAGTTTAATAAGCACTTATTTACCACCCAGCTCTCTGCTGGGCACTGTGGAGAAAATAAAGACTCAAAGGAACTATATAAAATAGTCTCTATCCTTAGACTCCTGAGGATCTAGGGACAGATGTCTTATGTGCTCGAAAGAACTAGAGCAAAGATCCTGTCCCTCTCTCCTGGGACCGTAGGCCTCCAGTGGTAAGGTGATTGCTAATGTAACATACTTCCGACCATCAGAGTACTGAGTGCTAAAACCATGAGATCTTTCTTGACACTCAGAAGGACTGTCTTTAGTGAACTTCATTTGGCCTTTAAAACCTTGACTACAGGAAAATGTACTTGCTATAGAGATAATTTTTTAAAGGTAATTTTCGCTATATTTTTGTTCTGTTAAATATTAAGGTCCTGTATGGAACATTTTACTTCCTAAATAAATAAGGGGAAAAAATAAGCATGCATTTGATCTTGTGAGAGTGAGAACCATATTACTGAGAACTTCATTACATTGGCCACCAGGAAGCTCGGAACTCCACGTGTCTATTATAATAACTGTAATACCACTATGAGACTCAGTGGGCTACGTGCATGTTGTATTTTATCCTATTTATCCTGGAATCCTATTCTGCTTTTATCTTTTCTATCCCTGTTTTATTATTTTTTTTTTTTGGTTGTTTATTTCCTTGTCTTACCATTTTGTTGCAGGTATTTCTGGCCTCAAAATCTTAAAGAATGATGGTAGTGTGTAAGAATTTTTTTTTTTTTTTTTTTTTTTTTTTTTTTTTTTTTTT